CCCCCCCCCCCCCCCCCTCGCCCGGGTGCAGCGATTGTGCCTGTGACAGGACGGGTGTCTGGGGGACCCGTGCCGTGATTTGTCAAAATGTTGTTGGTCGCTCTTTTTCCCCGTCAGATGTTTCTTTTTTGGCTAGCTTTTGGTGCTGCTCTTGTTGTGATCATACTAGCGTTTTCGCGTGTGCCGCCACCTCGGCGCAGCCTCTTCTGTAATTACGGTGTTCATCTGCATGTCTATTATACCGTCTTGTAGTAACATCTCTTTGACGCGATATCTTTATGCCACTCGCTCGTGCGTTGAAAAGTAAGACCCGCGCGTGTGCGGGATTATAGTCTTTTCTTGGATTTTGTCTTTGAATGCTTTTAAGGTAAGATGATTGTTCCGTTCTATGCTTACGGCGGCCCGTGGTATGCATCCATACTGGCGACCTGATTTGGACTCTCGTTGTTGCGAGGTTTGTGCGGACCCGCGCGATATGTCGCAACAAACGCCGTTTTGCTGTTGTAAAAAAGGGCACACGTTTTTTCGTCGATCATCTAGTCCAGCAAACGGGTTCGCCGGCTCCGTGCGGGTTGTGGTTGGCGATTTGGTTGAGCGGCGCGAAAGAGTACCCCCCCCCCCCTGTTCGCGAGGAAGTGTAATGCCGTCGTGTCCTAACATGACATGGCGAACCAGGAGAGGCGATAGTCTGGGGACGCTGAAACTTTTCGGTTTGTTGTGGAAGTAGGGCGGGGGGAGTCGGGAGGGCTGGTAGTAGAAAACGCCAAGAGTTGACACACATGACAGCTACGTATAATTTATTTAGTTATTTCTGTGTTTTTGCGAGAGGACGGAAATGGTGTGTAGGTGTAAACGCTCGTTTGTTTGGATGCCCAACCGCTGTGGACGGTGTAGATGGGGCGAAGATAGGCTATTGCACTAGCGAGCAGGGGGCAGCAGTGGACCGCCAGGTTCGTTTGGAGTGCACGGAAGAATAGTGACATGTGGGTGGCGACCGAACCCTCCCAAGTTAACAATGATGGCAAGGTGCTGCCTTGGATGGAACATCTCTTCGGATGGACGGTTCTTATTGGAGATGCAGCAGGTGTAGAGCATTGGCAGCAGCAGCCTTGGCAGCAGCAGCAGCAGCAGCAGCAGCAGCAGCAAGGGTTGTAGTTGTTCCAGGCCTGGGCGGTGGTGTGTCGGGCGAGGGAAAGGTGGATGTATTTGTATTTCTTTGTGGTGTTTGCGAGAGATGGAGGAACAAACAAGGCCGACATGGCTAAAGTGTGTGTAGTAAAAGTGCTCGCTATTGCCTACTCCGGACAGCCACCTTGGTCGCCGCACTATTGATTGTTCCATACCTTGAAGGCGGTAGCAGCTTCCCCTCCCTCCCCCCCCCCCCCCCCCCCCCCCCCCCCCCCCCCC